CTGTCGGAGAGCAAGGCCTTTAATCAGTAATGAATCGCATTTTACGAGCTGATCAAACGTTCTGCATGTCAAATCCAAAGTAACAACTAATCACAACTGTGGAATATATGCAGTGGAGTATAAAAGTAAAGGAATAAAACTGAAGTAAATTAGCAGTACCTCTGAATTGTACGTGTATATACAGTAGGCTACTTGGTTTCCATCACTGTTATTGGGCGACTTGGTTCCACTTAGCTAATGCTGTCCTAAAAGTAACAGCGTACCCACTAGGACTATCCTTCCAACACTGTAGGGAAGCATTTGTAGTTCAATACCCCCTCGAGGGCGAGGCTCTGGCTAATGACTCTGAAAACAGCTGAGAATAGCTGGAAGTTCAAGAGTTCCTAAAAAGAAACATTTAATATAACCTGCAAGTATAAACCTGAGAGCTATTGCTAAGAGTGAGAAATGATATGACTAGACGTGGCTGAAGTGTTACACTTTAGAAAAATACTGCATTTTATCAGACAAAACTGTCCCCTATCAGATGTACGGGATATTGTTGGTTCATTGATATCCCGGAAATATTGAATACAGCTGATTTGGTTTCTGTCTGTTCTTCTCTTGCACTCCAAATCCTGATTTATTCTACACAGAAAATATATATTTAATACACAATCAGTGTTTCGTGGGGAACGTAACAGAAGTAGGGTCGTGGTTGCATTTGTGTTGCATCTGAATATACCGTTACAAATGGACTGCCCTTATCTGTAATGACAGATGAGACTAAATGGAGCCGTATAAACAGCATAAAGTCCACACAAAGCAAAATGTCACCAGTCCACTTACTTAGCCCCACACACCTCACTGAAAGGTGAGTGGATGGAGTCAATGCGCATTTTAGCATGCTAGCATTTAGCCAGACCCAGCGGGCAACAAACAACGTGGGTGTGTTTGACTTTTGTTCAGATTCTGTAACAGAATGTGACTTCAATTCAGTAATTACAAATAAAATACATACTTAAGAACGACATGAATACGAGTAAAATTACTAAATAAAAAAGACAAGTACGCACACGCTAAAAAGCGACTTGGTTTCAACAATGACAGTGAATTTGTTACAGCCACTCCTGGCAAAGGCACAGTGGTGTTCTGCGCGAAATGCTAACGTAGCATGCTAATATGCTCACAATGACGATGCTATAATGCTGATTTGCAGCAGGTATGATACCGTTCAACATCTTAGTTTTGCGGGTTAGCATGCTAACATTAAGATAACGCTAGCAGATAAGTCAGTTGTTACATTTCATCCAAAGGGGACGTCAATGTCTGCGAAATTTGAACCCATCCAACAGGGGATGAGACATTTAAGTCAAAACCATAAATGTCCAATTCAAGGTGGCGCTGCATGAAAATTAAGGGAATCACCCAATTCAGAATAACTTGTCCTCTGGGGACCATGAATGTCTATACAAAGTTGAATGGCAACCTGCTTATTTCATATTATTTATATTTAGATATTTCAGTCTGAACCAAAGTGATTGTCGTGCCTGGAGACATGTTGCTAGCGTGGCTAATAATGACGGTAGCTCATTCACTTGTGGCGCCATTAAGGAATTTGTGACACAGACAGTTTTAGTCCAAAAGCGGATCATCTCTGAGAATCAATGGGATGGCCATCTCATTATCTTACTATGGAAACATTAATGTCAAGCTGGAAGAAATGGCTAACATCTGTTGCAGCGTTATAAATTCACGACTCAGTCCGCCAGACTTTTGCATTATTCATAAAACACTGACAAGACAAGCTCATCTTTACGACCATCAAACTGGACCAAGAACAGGTGAACACAGTGCTACTGTTCTCAACATTGTCAGCCCATGTGCACATTAATTACAAACATTTCCATGCAGGTAAGTCCACTGAAATAACAAAACAAACACCGTCTTTGGGAGCAAGCAATACATTTCATTAAGCCAGGAATGACTGCTGAAAAACTGGAAATTGATGTCAATCAAGAGCTACAATTGGACTAATGAACCTCTTAAATCACTAAGGGAGAACTAATTAGTGAACAGCTGGTGAATGCTAATTGGCTTCAAGGCAATCAATGCTCGGGCTTGTGATTGGACCCTGTCTAAGGTGTTGCCACGAGCCAATCCTGAGCTGTTGCTAAGCAGAAAATAAGCACACCGCCTGCTCTGCTCTTCAGTCTACACATTTACTGCAGATATAAGTGCTTTTGTGCATTACATATAGTCATGTGCTTTTACAGCTAGTAAAATTTAATTATTTATATATATATATAATGTGTATTTTAGTGAAAAGCCTTACTAATGCACATCAAATAGTTGGACTGATTTGTGTTATGTTCTTATGGTGAAATTCATCTTGTTATGGATGATTAATTGCTGCCACACCCTAGAGCGTAACCCGTACTGATCCACGCCCATTATTGTTTCACTTTTATCAGTGTTGGACTTTGCTCCGTATCCGTACTGCAGTGACATCATTTATTAATAAACACGAGCTGAAAACACGTAGAGATGTCTATAGTCTTAGAAGTCATAGTCATCATGCCATAATTAGTAAAGCTATGGAAACTCTAATAATATTACGGTATCATATCATCTCTTTTAGACTGTAAGAGTTTTGTCCTAAAAGGAGATGTAGACAGTTTAAGATGTCACAGAAGGAAAAGCACACGTGTAAATACTACCTCCAATGGTGGCTGCTTTGGTTTCTGGATCCTGGCCCTGTGCATCCCAACTCACTGTGACACGTCGTTAACGTTATTAGTAACGTGTGCTGTTTCTACTGTGACAAGTCAAAATGTCCGCTGTGAAAAATGCATCGGCCTGTTAAAAAGAACACGCGCAGGCAAATCAGAAGTATCCTTGCACCATCATTTCCTGAAGTGAATGCGTAGTTACGCTGCACCTAATGACACGTGTTACCCGCAGAAAATGTCCACCATATTAAACTGAATTATTCATTTGTTGATTTTTTTTTTCTCTGAAATGACCCGTCCCAGCTTACACTTCAAGATCACTTGAGAACCTCTCTGAGAAAATGCGGCCCTCTTCAGCTTGAGTGCAGGGAGGTTTGTCGAGATCTGAGAGGCGTCCAATCAGCAGCCCAGTGGCTAACGGCGCTCCACACCAGGCACTTCCCCCACGGTTTAAAGGACTGGCTGGCTCCTGGATTGATGGGGACTGGCGTAAATAATTTAGGCCTGCATTAAACTGGGAGGAAATGATGACTCATGGAAGAGGAAAAGTTGAAATGCTAAGTGGTTTAAGAGAGTGCCGCCTCTTCTTAAGGCAGTGTCTGCTGCCGGCTGCCATGAATGGCTTCCACTGAGCTCATGGTGCTTTAGATATATCACACTGCACACAGTACATACAGTATAAATATATAGATTTAGAGTATAATGTTCAGCTAATGGACATCTGTTATGACAGATGTGTCAAACTCTCAGACTCACCGTTTGTGAGTAGAACAACGGTGAATTAGAAATGTCTTAAATCTAATTTGAGCTCATTAAGCAGCCTATTAGTCACGACAGGTCTGGGACCATTGAGAGAATGTGGGGAAAAAAGCACCAGTTCATGTCTGCTATTTACCCTGTGTAGCTATACAACATGCTGGAGGCTCAGTGCATAGCAGAGAGCGCTCTATAAATAGATCTCCCCTGCAGCTTGGGAGTCAAGACTGGAGTTAGTATGTGCATTAGTGGGCCGGCACGCAACATGAATGACTGGAAGTTGACAGGGAGGAGGAGGAGGCGATGAAAACCACAGGCCATTCAGAACGTTACTAGTTGTGTTGCTTTCATTTCGTTCTGCATTTGGCTGGATGTTGAACTGGAGGGAGTTGAGCGTTAATAAAGAATAAATAAATCATGCAGTATACGTGCCGTTGTACAGTGTATTGATTGCAACAGGGCCCTACTCTACTTTATACCCTGCCCATGTATTTTTCTACCTTCATATATGTGTCCTAGTCTCGAGTGTGTCACCATTGATAACACAATATAACCTTTCGTTACCTGCACGGTTCAGATTAGGTTAGATTAAGTTGATCCAAAGTGTGAATTTTATATGCAAGTATCTGCCGTATCATTGATAAATGACAGTTCTGATAACAAATTCAATTATTTAGTTAAAATAAGCACTTTAAAAAAAAACCTTCATCTTTAAATGTAAAGACATGCCAGCCGTGCTAGCAGCTCTGTGAGGCTGTACTTAGGCACAGTGCTGTTTTGAGCTAAATGCTAATGTCAGCATGCTAACATGCTCACAGTGAAAATGCAATCGTGGCTTGCCATGTTTACCATCCTAGTTTAGCTTGTTTGCATGCTAATGTTAGCAGATTAGCATTAACGCAAAGTATAGCTAAGGCTGATGGGAAGCAGGTATTTGGTCTTAAATCAAAGTGTTGGACAAATTTAAGTTTTGACCTAATGATGGCGCTATTTGAAAAGTCATGGAATTCCCTAAAGTCAGTAGAATTCAACCTCTGGGGACCATGAATGTCTGTACAAAATGTCAAATAATGTCAAGCCACATTAAGTAATTACACCGAGGTGGTGTAATTACAATAGAGGACACAATGTTTCAGTAATGTTTCAGACACTTTTGCTACTTTGAATGAGAGCTGGTGCATTATAACACTGTGTGGGGATGAGATGGACTGATGGGGGCGCTATACTCTTAAATGTCAGCTTACAACACAGCAGTGATGCTGTGAATCTTGTTTGTCTTCGGGGCTGCCTGCATCACTCACGGGGGCTGACATGTTTCACTTGCTCTCTTTTGCATGGACGACCATCAGATGAATAATTTAGCATAAGATTCCCCGACACCGAAAAGCCAAGCATTTCCATTTAGCCACATACAATCTTCCTGTTTCCAGACTGAAGAACACAAACAGCTCGGACGCCACTTCCATGATGTCATGTCACCAGCGTGCATGTAAACAGTTTGTAGCTTTCAAAATAAAAGAAGAGACTTACAAATGCCATTTTTTTCTTCTTTATTCTGTGTTTGCATGACTGAACAGTTTGCAGATAAAACCAGTGCATTTCCAGTCAAGTCCCACAGTGTGTACGCTGACAGTTATTATTTCCACACTCAAAGTGGTTGTGTGCATTCTCTCCTGGGACCTCGGTTCTTTAATTCACATGATCACTGCTTTTACAATCCTCTTGACTGTCTTTACGTGTGTCTGTGGGGGCAGCATGAAGCGGGTTAACTCCATAGAAATGAGAGAGAGGTGCGTAAATGAGGGAGAGACAAAGCTTTGAGCGGGGGCTAAGCTGAGATTTCCTACAGTCAGATGAAGAGTGTAATTACGGCAGAAAGAGCAGGCAAATGGCGCTACTGCAGATGTGTTTACACGGAGCACTCAGCTGGGGTTGGCTCATTACCAGAGAGGGTAGGGAGGAGAGGAAAGCAAGGGCAATCCCTTGCTTTCCTCTCTGGCATGTGAACAAGCAGCTGCTTTGGGGGGAGAGCTAAGCCGCTTCTTCACCTTTCTACAAGCAGTTTGTAGTCGTAAAAGCGAGTATTTGAATATCTGTGTGTGTGTAGGGGGAGACACCGGGCCGCTTCTCTTCCTACTTCTTCACCACGCAATCTTTGCTTTCCACGTTGACAGGTATCGTGGTCTCTGAGGACTCGATGGCCGGTCGGATCAAAGGAGCTTCCACGGTCAGCACCCCCTCGGGGGACAGGGAGGAGGCCACCTTCTCAACGTTAGCTGAAGAGGGGAGGCTGGAGGGGAGCAATAGGACACAGTTAGGTTTGAAGAAATCACTCCAGTAGATTTACAAAGTGCCCCAGTCTTGGGACTTGGGAAGCATCACTGCCCCTACTTAAACACAGGCTGACTAAAATATTAATGCCTGAGTCACCCTTGGGTAAAATCGGATTCAAAATGCAGCTCAGTGTGCGTTGTGGCCCCTGGATGGCAGCAGAGCCCTATGAAGGATGGATGAACACTAGGGGAAGTGGAGGCTGCTGCTGCTTCTGCTGCTTTTCAGAGCATGAAATTCAGCTATCAGCAGCAGCCAGCCCTCTACAGGCCGGACCAAACCACAACTAAAGAGACTCACAGCATCAAAAACCACAGCGAGAGAATCACAGGGATCTGAATCCAGCCAGAGAAATGCATTTCCTCTGTGAAAATTCAATCCAAAGCCCCGCCAAACTGCCACCACAAACCCATTATAATAAGAAATCTGTTACTTTTGAAGTGAGCTGTTGACATGTTGCCATGGCCAGCAGCTTCCTTTCATCAACTGGACCACAAACGTGTAAAAAGTGATCAAAAATAGAACTGATTTGGGTGACATTTTAATTACTCCACAGGCTTATTCTTTGACCATGATCAGTTCAAACATTGAGCTACTTACGTGTATTTCCTGGTGAAGCTTCTGGACACAAAGCCGTGCTCGTCCTTCCTCTCTTCATGCTTGCCTGAGGACACAGACAACGTACGTTTACTTAAAAGTGGCACTAATATGAAAGATACGTTCACTTTAAGGAGTTGTAACTGAAATAATATATTATGGTGGAGCAATTCTGTAATTCCTATAACTTGCTTAAAATCAAGTTTTATTGCAGGTTTTCAACAAACAAAACTAGATTCAGGATGTTGGGTACTCTTAACATTCACACCATGTTTAATTGGTCTTTTTCTTGTTATAGCAGTAAAAGCACGGGTGTAAATGATATCAATAATTATGGATCAATTCATGTATGCCACAAAAAACAGAGCCAAGCTAGCTGTTTCCCCTGGTCTCCAGTCTTTATGCTAAGCTAAACCAGCTCCTGACTCTAGCTTTATACCTATTGTTATTTTGTAGCTTATGTGGGGTTATGTACCGGACAATTTCTTGGCTTAAGACATGTCAGGCAACCTCACGATGACTCCAGAGAGTCACAGTGCCTTGCCAAGAAATAGTCGGGCCCTTCTAGTCTTTGTGCCAAGTTAAGCTGTCTCCTGGCAGCATGCTAGCTCCTTATTTACTGCACATGAGTAGTATCAATCTTCTTAGCAAGAAAGTGAATACTTTAATGACTTGTTTATTTATCAGTACCACTGTACTGTATATGTATTAGTGACTCGCGCAAACAGTACAATGACTCTGCTATTTTTGGTTTGTGAAGGATGTGAAGTCACAGCCATACCCGTCTTCACCAGGACAATGTTGGCACTAAATATAGTCAAATGTTTGTTATGACAACGGGCCTGATAAAGGTTGTTGTCCTCAGGGAGCTGTCCCCTGTCCAACAGGACGACACCACCAGTGTGAGTGTGGCTGGGCCAAGTCTGCTCTCTTTCAACTTCCCAGAGGGTGCTTCCTTCTAAGTATGAATGAAAAGGACTGACAATTTCATCAAGAGGTTGCACTTTGGTTTCTACACAAAACTCTTCACTAAGCTTCACTGAGTGATATCATCTTTAAACATCAAAGACATCCTTGTTCCGAGGTGACATATGAGAAACATGAGGTGGCAAATTCCACTTGGACTAGACCCTCGGCTTTGTTTATCTGTTCCTGACTATGCCCAGTCTCTCGGCAGGGAGGTAGAGGCCATAATCCGGCCTAGGACCCTGGACCTGGACAAGATCCAGCAGTCCTTTTAAAGTAGCAGACACACTGGGTGAGTCACGGCTAAATCCCCTACTATACGAGCATAATTCTTAGTAAAATGGCAGACAGAGAGGCCGAGACCGGCTCGGAGAAAAGAGGGGCTCAAGGCCTCAGAGAGCTTTAAGCTCTTACAGCGATCCTTTCAACACACATTTTCCTCAGGTTTGCGCATTTAGCTTTGGTCCTTAACAAGCGTGGACGGACAATGGGAACAATTCACGGCAAAAAGTGAAACCAGCTATTTAATGAACCAGTTTCTGCACCGTGTTCATCTGCGAGCTCCCACATGTTGAATTGTGTGTTGTTTCGCATCTAGCAGGCGTGAGGCCAAAAGCCCCCCGCCCTCAGTATATTGTTCCAACATATTATGTAACTCTGCAACAATGCATCTGCCTTGTGCTTGACCTCGCAAAAAAAAAAATGTGTCCTTCCTTTTTATCTTGAGTCTTATTCCCCAGACCTGTACTTTCTCCTATACAGGAGAGAGACAAACCGAAGTCCACAAAGTGAGGCATTCTGTTATCTACACATGTGTATCTAAGCAGATCTTTAGATGTTATCACTTTGCTGTTCGATTGAGTGGTCCAAATTAAAGACTGACTTTCCCTGACAGGAAATGACCTTCAACACCTCAGGTTTTTAGTGTATGAGGTTATGAAAATACTGGGCTACTTGAATCGGCATGCACTAGGTGACAGTACAGTACAAACAGATGATCGGTGAGGGGGGCTCACCAGTGATTTCCACCACGCCGTCCTTGGTCTTCACCACCAGCTCCTCAGGTGAGAAGTGGTTGACATCCAGGGACACCTTCCAGCTGTCTTGGGTCTGCTTGATCTCCGACATGCCGGTGCTCATCTGGCGGGTCAGGGCACGGGCCTGCTGGGCCATCATGGGGGCTGGGTACATCACGGGGGCGTGGGGCATCATGGGGCCCATGGTGCCCATGGGGCCCATGGTGCTCATAGCGCCCATGTCCGGGGTCATGGCGGAGGGCCGCAGGTATCCCGGCCAGTGGGTGCTGGGGAATGTGGTGAAGTCCTCGTGCAGGGCCGGCATGCCGAAGGTCTGATCGAAGATGCGGCTCTGCTGCCAGTCACGGAATGGGTCCCAGCTCGGGGTGCTGAGCAGGGTGAACGGAATACGTCTCTCGTTCATGGCTGCTGTCGTTGCGTAGCGGCGGAGGAGTGTTGCTGTAATGGAGAGCTGCTAGCTGCAGATGAAGAGCCCCTTTGGTCTCTCTGAAAGTGTTTTCCAGACGTGCTCTCTGCCTCTCAGCTGAGAGCTTTTATACACAGGCTGACACCACCCCGGTCAACAGGGCCCTCCCTTCTGACTCAAGCCCCCTCCCGCTCATACCCCCGAAACATTTTCGGAAAGTACTAGCATATCTATTTGTGTCAGACGTTGCACTGTAATGGAATCCAACAGGAAGGCCCTCCCCAGTAACAGCCGCTCAGTGCACTGTTGAAACCGTCCTGAGTAGTCCCCCCCTCCCTCCCTCTCTTTGGGAGCCCACCAGGCCTGCTGAACAAATACAACCCCTCAGATGAGTTAACATGTTATGTCCAACATGTCTCTTTTTAGGCCATGGTGTGATATACAGTCCAGGCAGCGCCATGCTATCATCAGCCTCATATTAAAACACAGTGGAACGTCAGTGTGTGACATGGATGCAAGTGAACACTGCACACACACAAACAGACACAGAATCACACCATTAAAAGGTTTGAAAGCCAAACAACTTTGGTGTGATATTACTTCACCAAGTTTCCAGATTCATCCTGAGGTCACTAGGTGAAATAATGACACTAAGGAGGGAGGATGCAGTGTAGGAGCTGAGGAGACAAACTATTTGGTGTACACTTTATCCAAAGTATTCAGCTCACATTCAGCTCCACAGTTGGCTGTTGTCAGATAAGTGTCTGTGATGCTTTTCGGCAAGCCCTCGTGTTATTAATGTCCTAAACTTAATAAGCGGTTATTTCTCAAAGCCGCTGACAGCCTGTTATTGCTGCTGCGTGGCATGATTGTATGTCACAGATGTGTTCCTATACCAGCGTCGCACTAGCACTCTCATGAGATGTTTTGCTTTTTTTAAAGAGGGTCCAACTGTGGGGACCTATAGGGACCCCATCTATTTAAGGACCCGTCTTCAACCCAAAGGGAATAGAGTAGGATCCAAAGACATTAGAACTTTTACAAATGTTGTAAAATATAATGTCCCAAACCCACAATTGAACGCAACATGTTTTGGCGTCGTCAGGTAACACCATGTGTCACAAAGCGCCGTCTAACACTTAAACCACAGCCCAATCCCAGTGTCCCCCCCAGGGCCTTAAACCCTGAACCCTCAGGGGTTTAACTGACATCACCTGTTAAATGTGACATGATGAGTGTGAGAGGCTGCAAGGGCTTGAAATAGTGTAGACACCAATGGGACAGCACTTTGCTACAACATCACATATCACATATCAGTGCCGTTGTTTACAGCATGTTCACTGCCCTCAAGTAACCAACAAAAGAAAACTGCTTTAACACTGTGTACCAACTGTAGGTTTGTAAATTTGAATAGCTTAACTTAACCAGCATATAGTGTTGGAACAGCAGCTGTTTTTAATACGTTGCACATCATAAGGGTCATAAGGCAACAGGTGCAGCAGCCTGTCTATCCCTTAAATCCATCCAACAATATTGTTGGCAGTGCTTCCATTATTTCCAGTTCTGGTTTTTATTGATTAATGGCTACGGGACAGCTCTGGGGACTCCACAGTCAACGGAATGTAAATCCAGCCCTATGTTTTTTAGATAAATGATCAAAGTGAGATTTTGACCTGATGTAGCGCTTGTCAAATGTCACAAAACAAGAGAGACCAGAACCATAAGACATCTTTACCAGATTCAATGACGCTCTGTACCAAGACCGAGACAAACAACAACCCTGCGAAGCACATTTGTTTGTTAAATAAGGTGACGTAAACCGCACAGAAGTCCCTGATTCATCAGTTTGGTCTGTTTATCATCACTCAACATGCAGTGCACAGCACAGGTGGAAAAGCAAAGCTGTTGACACTGCTTGATTTTCTCTCCCCTGCACTGTATTCCATTCACATCCTTTTTTTTGTTGTTGTTTTGATTGTGTAGGCTCTGAAGAACATCGCTGCCATCAGCCTGGCTATCAATTACCCCAATAAATCTACCAAGCTACTCAACATGTCCCCTCGAGAGATGCCCTGAGAGACGGGAGGAGAACAACTGTAAGGGGCCACATCCTGACTCAGCTGGTTTCACTTTGAACAAGAAAGGGAGAGGTGACCATCCAGTGCTTTCCTTCTTAAAGGACCCACCTCCACTCCGATGACTCTCTGCGGTAACTCTGGACAGGAGCTGTGGAGGGGTCCTCAGAGAGCCCTTTCCACACTTACTCACAATCCTTTTTGCCTTAGGTTAAACCGGTATATCAGCATGTGCATTCACTGGAACAGGAACAATTGCGGGGTCTGGAATTGTTTTTTGTTTTTTTTACTTGACTATGTAAAGGACATGAGGTGTGCCAAATTCGTGACCTTCAAGGGAAAGTATACTCCTTTTTTTCTCGCCCCTTCCTTCCTTCCTTCTAAACAGCAGCCGCCACTGGGTTGCATAGTTGATCATGGTGAAAACAGGTCACCATGGCGACGTACATGTCCCAGTGGACATGTAGAGCATCCTAAAAATACTGTCCAGGACTGTGGAGTCTCATTACTCACCATGGGGAGAAAGTTCAGACCTACTCGCTCATTCCACTCCTTCCTTCCTTTTTATTTGATCTCCACTTCCTTTCTATTTCTCCCCACCTTCTCTCCTTCTTCCTTCCCTATTTACTTCTGTCCTTTTCAGACAACAGAAGTAAATGACGGTGTGTTTTTCAGGGCTCCTGTTGAAGGGAAGGGTCCGTGCATCGTTCACAGATATCCGAAACATACATGTGACCTGCAACTCTCTGTCACGACGACAGGTGTGATGTGCACTAGAACCCACGGGATGAAGATGATACTCAAATAGCCATAGTCTTTGCAGAGGATGAGAATGAACTTTACAGCTGAGGGGAAACTGTGATGACATACTATTGCAATGCATTCCTCTGTGTTATTCTATCTATATGTTGAAGTATTTTCACTCCATTTACTAGTGAATGAATGAAAGACTATTTTGATGTCAAATGATGAATAACAGCCAAAAAAAATAATCATTGAAAAATTCAGAATCTCTTAAAGGCCTTCAGTTTTATCCGCTGATTTATTTATTCATTATTATTATTTTATCTAATGCATCATTTTCTAATGCATAAAGTTCAACGCTTGATGAAAGTCCTGATTTATTTTTCACTGCAGTGAATGACAAGCTGGATTCTAAATCACAGATGGACCGTCTTTCCCTCGCATCACTTATAAAGACTTGATGGGCCGTCAACATACTGATAAAGACACATAAAGCTGACTGTAAGATAGACTCACTATCCCACTTATTCACTCGTACCACATCTCGTTTTGTGAGCTGGGAGAGTTGAATTCTGTAATGATCATCTTTTGTAATTGGTGGGACACTTCCTGAAATGTTGAACGTGTCTCTTCACATTACACCCCACCCCCCCCCCCCATGTTTTATGGAAGCTGAGATCCACTGGTGTTCACTTCCACAGAGATCAGTCATGTACTTTCAAATCTAAAGTTTTAAAGGGAGCGAGTTGTTGGGGGGGGGGCTGTTCCAATCATTACTGTATTCATTTCAAATGGAGAGATTATTTGAGTTGTTGGAAGTCATGGTGGTTTATACCAAAGAAACCAATCATTGTGAGCCATGAAACATCTCTGAGAGCTCCTGGTAGAGTTCCTTCTCCGTTTGTCACATATCAGAGAGCCACCCCGACGAGAAGCTGGAACAGAGGAAACCTTGACACTTCGTTCTGTTTTTTTATTTTTACTTTTTACTTTTATTTTCTAAATGGTCCCTTTCAAGGACCGTACGTCCAATATTTAATACTTGACCAGTTGTGGCTTTGGGAATTACTTTCACTGTCCTGTCAAAGACCTGTTTGATGAAAACAAATTGAAATGTGATTAAGGTAAAAAACACAGAGACAGAGTGGAAGAAGCATGATCAGTCCAATGTATGATTGAACATGACAAACGTTTGAATCTTGGTTGGGAATGGTCAAAGTAAGAGACGGTCACAAAGCTTGTCCAGGTCGTGGACATAGATGATGCCTTATTCCCAGCACAGCACTTGAAGGATGAGGGAGGATGTTTGTAATTATGTCTCAAGGTGTGAGAGCACCTAATTAAATACATTTAATAAATGATAACAGGACATTGTCATTGTACCACGGAGACATTTTTCACCTTAGTAGCCTCAGTGTAAAATAAATATATATATTTATATATATATATATTTATATATATATATATTTATATATATATATATTTATATATATATATAAATATATATATAAATATATATATATACATCTTCTGGACTTCAGTGGTCTCGGCCTGAACCTCTTTTGGAACTTCTACAGTAAACTCAGGGAGATGTGAGTAGCAGTACTGTCACTGCTGGTTTTCCTTTGTACTGCAGCCATGACTCCAACAATAATTACCATTTGGCCTGATCAGGCTCATTGGTCAGTCACTGGAACACATGCATTTGTATGAGGGTCTCACCTGTAATAGAGCCTTTGTCTTTGTCACAGTGAGGGAGAGGAGGTGTTGAAGAGCAGAGTCCTGCTGCTCCAACTGATGCAGAACTGTTTTCCCATGCTGCCCAACCCGCTGGATCCCCGGGGCCCAGAGGAGAGCAGAGGGCCAGATGAAGGAGCCACAGCAGCGGCTTGTCCATCCACGTCCAGCAGTGCAGAGCCTCCGTCTGAATCCGTTCGGGCCGTCTGCGAACTCCACACTCACCTTTGCCTCGGTAAGAACCTGCCGGCTTTCGTACAAATGGGAGTAGTGAAAGGTGTTTGGTGGAATGGTCACAAATGGATAAAGCAACTACAAGGAACTTTCATTTAGTGCTGATTTTGGCGGCTCTTGTGGACAATAGCGGTAGTGTTTCTATGAGTACCAGCGGCTCATGTTGTGAAGGTCTTGAGCTGTTTTGGAAGCGTGTGAAAGAAGGATGCAACAGATATTGAATGTGCTTCTTAAGCCCAGCTGTTTGCAGGATGCACAGCAATGGTAGCACAGCAAAACAATTGAAGTTATTCTCTTACCTTATGAGGAAATAGACGTATGAAGAGGGCAAATTCAGTATTCATTTTGAGTCCTTTCAAATCTCTCAATTTTTTCCATCTGTTGGTTGACTGACAAAGGTTGACTCTTGGTCCTCTTGGACCCGGTGACAGGCATTGAGAAAAAACTACATCGATATCGCCAATCTTGTCGCTGATGGTCTCGTTTGCTTACGTGGGTCACATGGAGGCATCAGTGTTAAATTGAGACTCTTTCATAACCAGTTAACTATGACAACATCGGTAAAGGTTATGTGCAATTGTGGGTTTTTATTTTATATTTCTTACTCCCTGATTTAAACGTCTTCCAGGGTTTTGCCTTACGAGATGAGAGCTAATTGTCAAATAATCTATTTACTCGTTTTTGTCAAAGCAGCTTCATTAACAAAATGTAATGTTTGACGAATGAAGCGGTGTAATATATAGTTTCTGCTTTCATGTGTTTTTATGTTCCATCTTTAATCCTTAATACCTGAACAACCATGTGTTTGTTTACCATTGTTTACCATTTTTATGTCTCCGGCTTCCACGCTTCCACTGGTGTTTAACGTGGGTATAACATCACATTGCTATGAATTGTGGGTAATTCCCTAAGGCAAAGTCTGCAGAAATCCGGACTTAACGGAAAGTATTTCGAAAGGGCTCAATCTGTCTGCGAGAGAGCCCTCAAACACTCGAGGATTTGACAGTGGGACAGCCCTAAACCCTCGTGGACTTTGTGGGAGCGCGCCTCAAATTCCGTGAGTTTGGAGATTGGTATTGCGCCCATTACAAGCCGTCGTAAACACTCAAACACTTAACAGGTGACGTTAATGAAGTCTGTGAGGGTTCAGGTCTGGCGTAAGGGGGGCCTAAGCAAGTGGATCATGTCTATGGGCCTTGCAGCTACAGTTGTAACTGTATTTATTGTCCTGTCTCTGTCTTAAATAGTAGAAGACCACAACAATAGCCATTTACCTTACGGCAAGTATACAAGTATATATACAGGTGGACGGCACAGAGTGAATCAATGTGGCACTTTCTGCTGCACCCATGTTAGCCGGTTAGCTTCCACAGTAGTTTATGACCCCATAGGGCTACAATATCACAGCAGAAGTATGCGGTGTTGTCAACACCGCATACTTCTGCTGTGATATACTGTGCAGATGTCATCAGTATCAGTGTGTTGATATGTCCACAGTCCCCAGAATAGAACACGCCCCCTCTCTCAGGACTGGTTTTAGTGGAGAACATTCTAGCCCATACAGATATTTGAAGTTGTCGTATGTCAGTATCAAGGACCAGAAGGTTCTCACCAGCACCATCTGTAGGGGAATATACGCACAAGGCCTGCTCAACATCGTATCACTGCACCTGAAGTTAGAAGGAAAAAGAACAACACGAGAGCATAATTACTTCCCCATTTGTTTCTGTTTATTGTCAGGTATAATAACTTGTACATTACAAAGAAATGACTTGTAGAACCAAAGGGGCAATGCTATACTTGGAATAAATGAAGAGGTTTGCAGAGTATCATAGTTGGGTTAGGTCTGGTTCCACTGGGAATGCAACACTGTGTGAGTGACATGAGGCCAGACGAATGGAAAGGAAGACTGAAGAGTGATCCCTGATTGTATCGCCAGTTAGTTTACCGCACTACTGAAGCTGTAGACAGAGGAGGCATTACAGAGCCTGCTGGTGTCTCTGCTATGCCAGGTATTTCATCACATATATTTTCCTCCTGAAGCTGATAACCAGGGGACGGGAAACATGTTGCGGCCCATTATACCAGGGATTAGAATATGTGGTGGCTGGAGACATACAGTAGAGTACAATAATGGACTCTCAGCTCCACACAGGGAGACGTTGTTTGGTTCTGTTTCGAGGCTGATCCTTCGCTCCTCAATACAGGCAGAGCCACTGTGGCGTGCGAGAAAATGTATCCACTACAATGGGCCGGGGGAGCCATAATGGCGGTCGTGGGAGTAACTGTGGGCGAAGACTCCGTTCCACTGGCTACAATCAGAGCATGTTTTAAAAACACACAGCGGTGCATCTTCACCCTGCTCACTAATCCAAGAGCGACGGCGAGCCCTCGCCACAATGACGGACCCATTATGTGTGAAACATGGACACGTACAGTAGAGTTTTCAAAATGGGATACATTTGCATCACAATCGCATCCTTAAAAGCGTGATCCAACTGCTTTACTGCTCATGGCAAAACAATGATAAATAAATGGTAATAAATTAGATCATAAATAACCCAATAAATAAACAAATGAATACAGTAGAATCATAAATAGCTGTGGTCTACACAAATGTGTGCATGGAGACTTTTTGCAGACAGTTTTTCCTGTACAGTACCACACAGCAGCCGTATAGGTGCCGGCTACAGTGATGTACATGTCAATCCTTTCCTCACTGGTCATTGCAGAGGAGGTACACGCACAACTGTGTGCGCGCGCGCACACACACACACGCACACGCGCACACACACACACACACACACACGCACACACACACACACACACACACTCATAAAGTCAAGGTTAGCAGAATCAACATGATAATTTAAACAGGGAAGAGTAAAATTACATAATAAATAGTCCCCCCCCCCCCCCCCCCCCCCTCCCTACCCCCGTCCCATCCCCCTGTGTATGCAGGTGACTGACTTTCTGTATAGGCCAGCGGGGAGCACAGATGCACCCTGGCACCGTTCATTTGGGCCAGGTACTCTCCTTCCAGCAGCAAGTCTCTCCTGATGCATCATGCTAAACAAACCTCCTCCAACGAGATGGAATATACAGTGCATAGTTTACAAAGCCGGAACTCAAGAGACTTTACATCTATACAGACAAACCTATACAATACAATTTTTATCATTAAAAAAAAAGTTCTTTTTTTTCTTCTTCTCCCTATTTCATCAGCCGACCTCTCCTTTGTTCGAACTTCTGTTGATCTCTGTGCTTCAATGGAACGGAAGTCTTTGGGGAGACGAGTACATGATAAGGGGAAAACAAACTGAAATGTACAGCAAGCCGTCAACGTGTCCTCTTTTTGTCTTCTATTCAGCTCCTATTGTTAGGGTATATATATATGTATTTATATAGTATATCGTTTTTTTTAATGGATTCATTTTTGGTTGCGTTGTGAAGGAAGAGAAAGAAAGTGCTAACATACAGCGAGATTTGTTCTTTGGGCTCTACCAAACTGAATTTTGCGACGCGTGGTGAACCATTTCCATTTAATACCTTGTTTACGTGAAGACATGAACAGTGACGGCAAATTTCATAGTAATGTGCTATTTCTCCTGTTTGATCCGGGCTCTGTGTTTGGAGAGAGATAATGGTCTCGGGTCGAGGAGTTTGGGGCCCCCGGACTGTACAGCATACGGCTCCGAGGAGGGCTTGGTAAAGATCACGACTGAACCAGAGCACAGTAACATGTAACGGGACTCCTGTTTGTGTGTGGCGCTCAGAAGCCGGGGCTGTCGTAGCTGCTGCGGCTGTAGTAGCTGTGGTGGCTGCGGGAGCGACTCTTGCTGCGGCTCCAGCTCCGGCTCTGGCTGCGGCTCCAGCTCCGGCTCCGGCTTCTGCTGTGGCTCCGGCTGTGGCTCCGGCTGTGGCTCCGGCTGCGGCTGTAGCTGCTGTAGCTGCGGCTGCGGCTGGACCGCGACGGGCTGCTGTCGTAGCTGGACGACGAAGGGCTGGGCCGGTAGTACGGGATCGGCCGCTTCCGAGCACTGGGGAGAAGAGAGAGGGGGAGAGGAGAGAGGGGGAGGATGGAGCGTTAGACCAGACGCCAGACCAGTTTGTCAAGGTCATGGCCTTTGTCTGGCACTGATGTTAAACACATGATGTGTTAAGACAAGATTTAGTTGGTTGAGAGCCGATCAGTGTTAGACTACAGAAGTGGTGGATTGATGATCTGAAAGAGAGCAGCTACACGGGTTAAAAACAAATAGTGCAAGCTGTTTAATCACACACACACACACTCACTTTGCAGAGAAATGCATGTCGTTAGTTTAAGCTTAAGCATAAATTGCCTTGTTAAGAGCCACCCTGGAAGTGCTTCCTGTAAGGTAATTAGCTGTTAGTTTCCTAAAGAACCTCGTCTTCTCAGTGGAGGCCAACACCCAGAGAAATGGTGGAGTCAACAGTGCGGGGAGAGATAAACGCTATCAAGGTATCCCCGCTGCTACAAGGTGTGTTTCACCTTGTCATTTCAGCGGCGTGCAGATAACGCAGCCGAAGCTTTTTGTCTTTCGCGTCTGCCTTGGGAATCCACAGCCTGCGCGATGGAGATATCCTCTAAAATAAACCTTGATAGCGTTTTAATCTCCCCGTGTTACAACATTAGTGCAGAACCGCAGAGGGGTGTAGCTTTCGAGCTGGTGTGAGTTTCTTTGTGTCAATTTGAATGAAGCAGCAGCAGAAAGAGGACAGAAGAAGAAGAAGAAGAAGAAAAAAACAGGAGGAGGCCAGGTTTACTCAGGCGGAGCTCTGATGGTTTGCTGTTCAGCTTCAGGAGTCGGACTACTCGGATCCTGCTGCGCGGCAACTGTTACCGTGGTAACTAGCCTGCGGCGGCTCTGTTCAACAGCATCCCGTCTGTCTTGTGAGGCAGGACCTTAAGGACTGGAGTGAGAGATGACAAGGTACACACATTTGACCCATGTCTATTAACGCTTCTGTGAGAGGGGAGAGAGGCGACGTGAACACCACACAAAGAAATCAGCAGATCAAGAAAGCTTAATAAATCAATACAGATGTGTCTTGGCGTTTGTTATCATACTTTTTGTATCTGTTTTGTGCCTTTTTTGTTACGTGCACTCGGCCACCAGTTTATTAGGTACAGCAAGTTAAAAGTACCTAATGAATCCTAAATGAATAACCCATTCAGGAGGCTTCTAAAGTTCAGTGTTTGTTGAGACTGTTTTAGAGAACTTCATGGTCATTTTGCGGGCTGTAGTTTGTGGTGCTGTTGAACTGTATTTCCTGAGAGGGGTGTCTCTGTTATTCAGTCGCATTGATTTGAATGCATTGAAACACCTGCCGGTGAAACACAATACAGTTCAACAGCACCACAAACTACATCCTGCAGGTGCCGATCAGGGCTGAAAAGAAAGGTCTTCCTCCACATGTTTTCAGAGTAAAGAAACAACAACAAGAAATCCTTTTATCTGTTTTTATGTCGAGTTAGTATTCTCCAAAGTCAGACTTGACCGTCAATCCTCTGATTAAGGAGGTAAAGGACCGGCCTCTCTCAAGGAAAGACAACACTATTATAGGCTTATTGCATTAACATTGCAGCGATTTACAAAAAATTCTAATATTTTGTTTTGTATAATTACTGTGGAAGTAACCAACTTCATCATAGCTACATGATATTAATGTAGGCAAACAGGACATACTATTTTCTGTTTCACTTCATAGTGTCCCCCTAACCTAAACCCTATGTAAACACCTCATTGGCTAATGCATGCAGTATTTCATTTCTGCTCTTTAAAGGATTAAATGGATCTGAATGTGGTTCTTACAATTTCCACTTGTGAGTTAAAGCAGGAACAAATTCCCCTCGTTTTATTTCCTTTTGCTTGTCATTGTAGTAATTTGCGGCTGTAGAAGAGCGACGTTTGCTCCGGCGTGAGTGCGCTCCAGTTAAATGATGGGAAACGTTTTAACTGCAGAGCGTAACTTACCTCCAGCAAAAAGTGTGTCACGTTAAAGTGCTGTTATTTCCAGACGTATGAAAGCTGAAAATAAAATTCAACACAAACAAACTGTCTCGTTGGAGGCGCGTTACTCTGTGTTCTGCTGGAAGAAAGTCCACACAGCAGATGAGTTGTGGGGGGAAAAAAATGTATGAGCAGATAAATAATCTTTACAACACATTAGGAGGAGGTTTATGATGCTGGACTGCTGCGTTACCTGGTGATCCTGCGAGCCTCCATGAAGCTGGGCGAATCTCTTCTCCTCTTGCGAATGGGCGAGTAGCTGCGTGAGCGGCGGCGAGCTCGGCTGTCGGTGTCGGAGCGGTTGGGGCTGTCCTTCTCTCTGCGTGACACACAGGACGCCATCAGAACAGCGACAGCAAAGCACAGTAGAAAGAAGAGTGTGACAGAGAAAGGAGGTTTCACCTGGAGTTGTTCTGTCTGTTGTGTGGGGACTTGGCCTTGCTGGGGCCCCTGTCTCTGGAGGCGGAGCGCGAGGACGAGTGCCCGCTGCTCCAGGAGCTGTTGCGCTGCCGGAGGTTGGGCTTGCTCCGGGACTCCTCTTTCTTCCTGCCCGACGACGCGTGTGGGTGGTGTCCCGGAGACGCCGACGGGCTCCGGTGGTGTGCCTGACCCCGACTGGAGCGGTGGTGGCGCTTGGAAGAGTGGCCGCCTTTTGTCCTGGGGTGATGGGAAGTGTAATGCAGCAGATGTCAAATGGTTGTCTCTCAGTGGTGCAGCTAAAGTGAAAAGATGGGGGAAGTCGTGCGGCGAGAGACAAACTTACTTTCTCTGACGACGAGAGTTCCTCGCTCTGTGGGTGGGGTTGCGCTGGGAGTGGGCCGAGTCGCTGCTGTGAGCAGGGGAGCGGGAGGTCTTATTCTGGCCTCTCTGGCTCCCTCTCCTCCCTGTCGCCTGGGTGACGGAGCTCCCCACAGCTGTGTTCCTCCCATCCACACTCCCAGCCTCTCCTGACGCGCACATCTGTCCCGCTTGGCTCCTGCTGGGGGCGCTGTGGAGCCTGTGCTCTCTCAGCAGAGTGGACTGGATGCCTGCAGAGCTAGCGGTCAGCAGACGGAGCTTCTGTAGAAAGAAATGATGACCAACAAAGGAAAAAAAAAAAAAAAAAAGAAGAAGAAAGAAAACAAAAAAAGAAAAAAAGGACAAAAAGAGCATTAGAGTGTTTCCAGGTTGGTGATTGAGCGCTACGGTGTACTTGCCAAAAGAAGGTAAACATCTAAAAGAAAAAGGTCTAGGTTTTCTCCATATGGCTTATAGATAGTCCTCTATGGTGCAGCGCATGCAATACTTGGCATGCAAAACCATAATGAGTTGAAGAAATCATAATCGCAAAAACAAACAAAAAAACTAGGAGGAGGAAGAGAGGGAAAAAAATTTAAACAAAACTGTGAACCAAATAAGTTAAAGAGCAAAGGCAGAAAGTACAGAGCTACAGATTTTGTAGAGTAGAAAAAGAGGACTTCTTCAGAGTTTTTTTTTTCTTTTTTTTTTTAGTAATGGTTAAAAAAAATGAAACAAAACAGAAAGAGAAGACAACTTGACGGAACATCACAGAAATGGAAGGAACAAAATAAAGATCACAATTATTGAATCAATCGAATCAGAAAACAAATCGTCTGCTACTCAATTTTTCTCTTTCTGGATTTTTTTTTCCTGAAGACAATTGCTGAGATGTGAACAGCGACCCATTTTCTTTGTTTTTTTTAATGGTTACTCTTGTTTAACTCCCTTCTGGTTAACATCCACTTACCAATAAAGTGGTATTCCCTCCTTTAGTAGGTAAGGTATGAAGAAAAGGGAAAAGTGGGGCAACATAAGTGCATCATTAGATTCACAAAATGCAAGAGAAAAAGACACAAAACCCTTCCCTGCCAGTGACTCATGAGACAATGCATGGAAATCAATGGAAAAGAACTCAAAAGCAAAGAGGAAAACCACAATGTGCAGGGAATCCCTCACACAGAGAGTAAATCCTCTGGGCCCAGCCACCTTCCTAAACATCAGAGAACAACTGGCTGGCGAGAGTTTGAGGTATTTTCTTCACCATTTTTCCTCTCCATGTAGTATCTACCGCAGGGCAGGTGTTATTTTACTGCCCGACACGTTTACAGGCTGCAGTAACGGCCTTGGCTTCTACTGGGTACCATTTGTGTTTGTGCTCACAGGCTCCCTGATACAGGGCACCTGTTTACACAATAGCCAACTCTTCTGTTAATGTAGTTCCAGGGAGCTGTCGCTACATATAACAACAGTGAGCCTTGCACTGAGATTGGCTTGGGTTCAACCACATTTCATAGCATTCAAAGGGAATTGTTTGGGTGAGTGACTAATGTTAAAACCCCAGAAAAGCATGTGGTCAGTGAAAGGTCAGTAAAATTGCATCTAACTGATAAAACAATACAAATGTGATTTGATCCTTTGGGATTTTAAAGTGAAAGGCTACTTTTAGACTCACGAAAGGACTCAATTAACTTGAAGCTAGCAGCTTTCAAAATGACCACTGTCTTAAAGGATAAGGCGGGCAATACTCTGTATTTCAAATGTGTTTAAAGCTGTATAAAATAGTTTATTTTTTAATGTTAATATATTCATATTTACTTCAGTTTGAGTGACCTTTGCTAAAAAACTACGGTGCCCAGATGTTTAAGGAATATATATCGAGCCTTACCTGGAGCAGCTAGCTTGGCTCTATGGATGGAAGTGTCGGTCGTCTGGTCCAATTTTGGACTAGACTGAAATATCTCAACAACTATTGGATGATTTGCCATGTAATTTAATACAGACGTTCATGAAACCCTCTGACGTTGGTGATCCTCTGGTCTAGTGCCAGCATCAGGTCAAATTCATTTTGTTCAATATTTTGGTTTATGACCAAATACCTGCAAAACTAATGACTTCCCCATCAGTCTCAGCTGTATTTTGTGGTTATTGCGAATTAGCTAATGTTGTAACATGGTGAGCATTATACCTGCGTAACATCAGCATGTTCGCATTCTCATTTTGAACATGTTAGCATGCTAACGTTAGCATTTTACCTCTAAGGACCGCTTTGTTTAGCTTTACTGAGCCACTAGCTGTAGACTCTTAGTCTTGGTTAATAATAAAACTACATATTTGTGACCCATTTTTAAAATTGTACATCTTCAGTGGGAACTTATATTGCTAATAGTAGCAAAGTCAGAAAGTATTGACTGAGCAACAAACCAATGCTGATTTAGGTATTTTTTTAAGGGATTTGCTCATAGTGAGAAAAAACATGTAATGAGTAATGCCAGCCTTATCCTATAATCTGTGTTTGGTAGAGGGTGAGTTAAAACATATTCCCAACCTCTATTTTAAGCATTCAATAAAAATAGAAACTGGACGAGTGCTTCAGTGGGAGTTAGGGGCTGAGACTTGTGATGCACAGTTATACACTGCTCATTGTAAGCAGGTCATAAAAAGAGAGTCAATCTCCAACAGCCGTCTTTGTTTGAAACCAAATACAGCTGTCTCTCTCTCTCGCATGCATTACAATATGCAGTCTGAACGGCTTCGTGATCTGAGGAACAACAAAAGCACCGACTGGCCGCTGCAGAAAGAAGAGCCGTTCTCCACTAGAGAGAAGACAACTAAGCGGTATAATAAGAAGACACACAACCACTGGTGCTTATGACAAGTTGTTAGAAACAGTCGTGGAAATCAATATGGTGAAAATCATAAGACGGATGTACTAATTCACCAACAGACAGAGAGATGCTGGACAAACAGGAATGCATTCTACCAAAACAGAAAGAAAACAAAACTGGAGAAAGAAATGGACCTGGAAGATAGAGCAGGATATTGGACTTCAGAATGAAGTTAAGGAGGAAAGAGAAAAACCAGAGCTCTACGTAATCCAATCATAATTGATGAAGTAAAATCAATTTGGTTAGAGATTTGGTAAATAACAGAGAGAGAGAGAGAGAGAGAGAGAGAGCGAGAGAGAGAGAGAAACATTGACGTCACTCAGGCTAGGGTGCTTGTCACATTCTCATCTGCATAAAGATCACGTGCGTAGGCAAAGCGTTACCTACCTTCCATTTCAATCAGTGACACGTATGCAATATCAACAAAAAAAAGGAAAGAAAGAAAAAAAGAAAAAAGGAGAAAGGAATGTTCTCCGCAGCGAAATGGGAAAAAGACAATGACCTCTTTTAGTATCAAAGCTACATACGGTGTCCAGAGACTAAGGAGAAATAAACAAACCAAAAAGTACAAAGAAAATAGAGGGGAGAAAACAAAACAAAAATAAAAATCCAGATGGAATTCAAATCAAACTAAAACAAAGGATGAAATCTATAAACTACATGATTTGCTTTGTCTTTTTCGCTTGTACAAATGCAGCCATATTTGTATCAAAACGGGAGGGGAAGTGGGGGAGGGGGTGATAGAGGTAAGTGGATAGAGTTAATTATCATATTAGTGGACATCCATGTCGAGTAGACTATAGCTATAGGAGAAAGGGAGGGGGAGGGGGAGGAGGAGGAGGAGGAGGAGGAGGAGGGGGGCGGGGAGGGAGGAGGACATGCAGAGCTGGCAGATGTGAGAGATATACGTGGGAAGAAAAAGGCCGGGACAACAAGAGGTGAGACGTGAGTCACACATGACACAGATGAACAGGTATGAGAGGAAGAGGAGGAGGAGGAGGAGGAAGGGCAGAAGAGTGTTAGAGGGGCGGTCACTGCGAAGATGGACAACTAGAGAGTCAGCACATTTGAAAGGGACCCCAGTCACATTTTGGCCCTGGTCTTCTTCAGTATAGCACCACTTCTCTACTCTGTACTGTAGGGCAGCTTTCTTCCAGGCAATCTCTTTGACTTATGTATCACTGTAAACACAGGTACGGTGAGCGAGAGAGAGCCCAAGGAGCTTTGTCAAATCTGCTGTTCAAACTGTTAACGCCAACGGGAGGGGGGAGCTTACGCTCAAAGTGGCTTGGGTCCCTTTAAAATAACAATCATGTTAATACATGTGTGAGTTGTCCTATAGTTATTTTTCAAGAGTCCATGTACGTGTGTTTGAAGTGTTTGAAGACATCTATTAATAATGAGCAAGAGGACGACTGGCCCAGTTTGGGACAGGCTCATTCACTGTGTAGGAGAGAGTCCTGGATGCTTCCCGTCTGTGCGCTGCTCTTTATCAGATTTAGGGAGGTTCAGCACATGCATTTACCAAACCAGCCGCACGGGCCTCAAAACATATATCGGAAAGCACTTCAGATGAAAGATCAATCTCGTCTTTGTGCATCTTGTCCTGGTCAATGTTTCAGTGCTGCGTCTTCTGTGAATAATTCTGTTGCAACCCAGCCGTGATGGACCAGAGAGCAGTAAACACCCGGGAGGCTCCCAACAGACCACCATGACCCGCAAGGTGAGGGTCACATGACAGGAGCTAGCATCTGCTAGCATGTTTACTGCTGTGTACTGACCGTGGGTTTGACAAGGTTGTTTTGTGACTTTTTATTTAAAATAAAGAAAATGGTACAAAAGATGGATACATCTGTCGAGTCTCCTGTAAACGTCCACTTTATCTATGATTGGTGGGAAGTTGAGTTTTTTTGCTTTGCCCCCATTGGTCAAATGGAGCAGCAAGGAGCCCATTTCACCCTTAAAAGCAAACTCGTACACGCTGCACGAAGCTGAGATTTACGCTTTCATGAAAATATGTTCAGTTTTTCCAGAGCGAAGGCTTCAAGGAGAAGGACTAACTCGTTTTTTTAGCAAACGCATGTCTTGCTTAACTTCTCCACCGCCGATAAAGAGCAGTGCACAGGCTTTTCTACGGGAAGCGTCCGGGAGTGTCCCCCATGTTGCGGATGAGACCGTTCCAAAACGGGGCTAGAGGACGACTACAGGAACACAAACTGAGATGATATACAGTGGATACGGAAAGTATTCAGACCCCTTTAAATTTTTCACTCTTTGTTCCATTGCAGCCATTTGCTAAAATCAAAAAAGTTCATTTTATTTCTCATTAATGTACACTCAGCACCCCATCTTGACAGCTGCAGGGGCAGGACGACTGGTTGCAATTGAAGGAAAGATGAATGCGGCCAAGTACAGAGATATCCTGGAAGAAAACCTCTTCCAGAGTGCTCTGGACCTCAGACTGGGCCGAAGGTTCACCTTCCAACAAGACAATGACCCTAAGCACACAGCTAAAATAACAAAGGAGTGGCTTCGGAACAACTCTGTGACCATTCTTGACTGGCCCAGCCAGAGCCCTGACCTAAACCCAATTGAGCATCTCTGGAGAGACCTGAAAATGGCTGTCCACCAACGTTCACCATCCAACCTGACGGAACTGGAGAGGATCTGCAAGGAAGAATGGCAGAGGATCCCCAAATCCAGGTGTGAAAAACTTGTTGCATCATTCCCAAGAAGACTCATGGCTGTACTAGCTCAAAAGGGTGCTTCTACTCAATACTGAGCAAAGGGTCTGAATACTTATGACCATGTGATATTTCAGTTTTTCTTTTTTAATAAATTTGCAAAAATTTCTACATTTGTTTTTTTCTGTCAAGATGGGGTGCTGAGTGTACATTAATGAGAAATAAAATGAACTTTTTTGATTTTAGGAAATGGCTGCAATGAAACAAAGTGAAAAATTTAAAGGGGTCTGAATACTATCCGTACCCACTGTATATAGTATATATATATATATACACAACCAGAGCTGCTGTACAGAACATTTGCTAAACCACACAACTGCTGCAGTAAAGTCAAACTTCAGTGGAATCCAGGATCTGTCACACATGACCATCCCCGAGCGGAGATTTCGGTTTGGGGATTATCACGAAAGAAGTATTTTAGCTTTTGGTGGAGATTAACAAGAATGGCAACATCGCTTTACGCTACAAAGATGCTGCTTATGAAACGGGCGAGCCAATTAAATGCTCCCCTCTCGCCACATCCCAACTGAATGGCTCTAACGGACGTGATCAAAGAAGACCTCCCTTGCCATTCTCCACTGGCCCGAGCAGATGGAGTAGAAACAAACGCCAGGGACAGAGGAGACACTGCCACCGATAGGGGCAACATGCACGTGGACATGGCAGAGTAAAACAGTAGAGAGGAGCGTGTGTTTAACTCCTGGTGGTTTGGCAGGAGCTGTCGGGACGCCTGGAGGAGAAGAGGATCTATCACTGAGCAGAGCATGTGCTTGAGAAGAAAGACAACTGTATTGACAAGAAGAAACTATTACACATACCCAGTTAACCTACTTGGTCCGGTTCCAAAGCATTTGAGTGCTTTTTATATAAACGAGACAGAAAGATTTGGGCATTTATTCATGGGCAAATACCACTTAATACTTTTGATAAGGAAAAAAAAGAAACAGTAATGAATGAAATAAGCAGAGAGAGAGAAAGACCAGATAAGACCTCAGAGACACATGCAAGCTGGAGGAGAAAATAGAAGACATCCCTTTTGTCCCATTTGGATGCATATTCAACAGAGACAGATGGTTTCACAAGTGATCCCTACAGTCTAAGTGTCTTTTGTTTCGCTCTCAACATAATCGGCCGTCATTCTGCCGTAGCTCCGGTGATCCATTTACCGTATGGAATAGCAAGGTTGTTTCCATTATAGCAGGAATGGATTTAAAACTCAGTGTCTTCGAGGTAATCAGAGACAAACAGAGAGGCTTACTTTCAAAAGAGCCAAAACAAACAAGGAGCAGTTCCATATTAAACACGTAGAGGGGAATAAATATGATTTATAACACTCCAGGAGCCTATTGTGGACAATATGTGGAGGTTTATTTGAAGATTTCATTACTCAGAGGGTCCACCCTGTGTCGTCATTGTAATTCATTAACACAACATCGTTTCTGTGGGAGATTTAAAATGCCTACATAAAAGAAATCAGATTGAACAAAGAAATACAGTGAAATACAACACACATTAACTGTGTCATGATCAAATGAATGTGTTAAAAGGAAAGTGATTTAGCTAGTGCTATTGATTCTAAATTGAGTCACATTCTGACTGTTTCTGATGGATGTGTGATGCGTGTTCATTTGAAGAAAGAAGGCGGCTCCCTCATGACAACGCTGTAGTTTCCTTTAGTGCTGGCAGGTCTCTGCTGCTCTCTGCTGGACAACTCTGAAATGCAATACACCGTTGCACTTTGTTTTCTGTGTTGAGATTAGATCTTAACGACACAGCACAATGGGAAATACAATTTTAATATTAGAATCAGGTAAAATATTCAAGTGTTTTCGATGACTCATCTTGAACTCGGCGGTTACGTAAATATATTAAATCAAATGTGATTTTGGAAAAAATAGCTAACCCGCCCATCACATGTAACCGCACAAGACTGTTAACTTGTAGGTATCTAGTGTGAGGAATTTAAGTTTAAAGCGCTCCTAGCGATGGATATTATGTGTTACAATATGTTTACTTGTAGAAGGTTTAAACTAAAGGGAGAGTTACTGAATTTGTTGTGCACTATGAGAAACCAGAGAATTTATGACACCGCCATAAAGTCAGAGAGAGGGGGATGTTGCTGAAGACTTTCTGAGCACAGCCTTCAAGAAGGGGGGTGAATTGGTCAAGGAAGTGGCCGACTGAAGTCCGAAGGGTTCAGCCAATCACTGAGCTGATCGATGGGCTAAGGAATGTGTAATATGAGACATTTCAGAGACTTTGGAGAGACAAAGAAACTGTGAATCCCCGGAGATAATCAGACCTCATCTGGACCATGAGGCGGACACACCAGTCTGTCGTGTGGTGCGGATGGGGCCTCTATTTCATGAAATATTACTATTGATAGTGTAATTCAGTTTGTAAGTGCATTTGCTTTTGTTAGTATATTAAATTCCTTTTGATTTAAACTTCAACCAGCTGATTCGGCCATGCTTAATGATGGAAGAAAGAGAGCAGGGGGGGGGCTGCCTCTTCCCCTTTGCATGCTTCTTCTCCTCTGAACAAGGAGGGGGGCTTTTTCCTTTACCTTTTGTTTGAGAAATTTTGAACATAACACTAGCAGTGCAATATCTAAAAAGGAGGCGTGTGTTTGGATTTCAGCAAGCGAACACTTTGTTTTCAACAAATGTTGAGGAAATAAATTACTAAATTAACCCTTAAACTTTTCCTTGTATAATTTGATTTAAATCCTTCTTTTAACTATTGTAATATTCTGTTTCCTGTGGAAATATGTCACATTACAGGAACTAAAGATGCTCTGATTTCCCTTTAACTGTGACTTTAATATCCATTAATTGCGTTATAAGACTAAAAGCAATATAATTGTCCCGTTTGATTTGATTTGCTTTTATTTAGGCATTTTAAATCTTCCATACAGCCCAGCTGTACCTTGCAACAATTCATTTTTGCATGCTAGGATCAAGACTTTCCATAAGTAATTGGATTTGTCAGTTCCAGGAGAAATGGCAGATTGTTGTCACTTTGAAGCGCCCTCAGACGTGTAATTGTGACTCTTGCAGCATTGGCTAATTACGACTTTATCTGCAGTAAAACTTGGAGGTTATCATTCCCAATAGACACATTTTTCTGTGATATTTCTTCACAGGCATGGACCTTTGTGGGGGAGCAAATGTCTGAAGTAGTCATACCTGTCCCTGGCTCAACTTTCTTTTTATTTCTATCATGCCTTAGCAGGCACCCGCTCTGCAGAAACAACACATCTTTTTGCTCCTTCATTTGGAAATGTGTGCGGCTCATATTTCCACCCGAGGTGCAGTATGCGATTGTTGACTGAAGAGAACCACTAGAACCTCTCTTGTCTTTGCTCCCTCCCTCTGTTACCGGCAAACAACAAGAAAAAAAAACGAAAGGAAAAACAAGACGGCAGAGGAGTCAAAGAGAACCGGAAACAAAGCAGCAGGAGCGGCAAGTTTTTTTTACACAGGACAGGAGTGTCTTTTACACGTCAAAAAGAATAATAGTAATAATATAAACTGGCCTACAAGCTAGGAATAACTGATAACAGAATGAAAGAAAATGTTTCAATATCAAAACAAGGTGAGAATTCATGTCAACCAACACAAAAAAGGGAGCAAGATCAAACTCATTTGTAGAGACTGTGGCAGATACTGTATATCGTTGGCGTGGGTGAGGGGGGAGGGGAGGGTGTGTGAACAAAATAGAGGAGATTACATACATCGTGCCCTTTCTCGCCCTCGCCGTGGTTGAGTCTGCCGGCCTTGCCGTTGCGGCTCCGCTGGGTGTGGTCCCCGTTGTGCCACGCGGCCGGAGCGTTGGTGCCCGGGGACGGCGAAACGCCCGACGCCTTTTGTCCGTCCATCTTGTGCTTTGAGTTCAGTCTGGAAGAGCAGAGCCACACAGCGACACGCTGGGTAAAGCACAGCCAAAGGAATGTTCATACACTGGGACTTCTGTTGAACTCCATCGGGCCCATACCGAAGCCCTTCACTTTAACTCCCACTCCAAGCAAACTCGAGAAGACGTGATAATTATCCAGTTTGGTTTGCCTAGCACACGCCGTCTGAAACATTGGAGCGATCGTACCAAATATCACTGGGAGAGATGAAGATGGCAGCTGAGTCAACGTGTATAGTTCTACAGAATGAGGTAGTTTACTGTTTCTAGAACAAGAATAAAGCTGCATTGATTTCTGTTTATCTTCAGTGTCTGCACTTGTCGATGTGGTACGACTCTCTCTCTCTCTGATTCCTCTGATGTAGCTCGACTGCCAGCAGCAGAATTTATTTCCTGCTCCAGGCTAGTTTTCTTTTTGTGTTCATTTCAACCAATTTCCTATTTATTCATCTTTATATCATAAAATAACAGATTGTTGTATAATTTCACTTTTTCATGTAGATATTAAAGCGATAGTGTGTTTTGATATGATGGTCTGTTGGGGACGGGGGCAGCAGCAAAATGTTCTTTAGGGGAAAAAAAAGTTCACGTCAGGCAGACGGCCCTCTCCGATGGTGAACTGAAGCCGTTATCTGCTCCTCCATCTGCTCCAGGTAATACACTGACTATGGATGAACACCTCATACAACCCCACTTGAGAAAAGCCGAACAATCCCTTTAAATATTTCACACAAATCAATCAACAGATTGTTCTTCAAGGAATGTATAATGGAGCAGATGCAGGGTAACTCCTCATCTCTGATTGGCTATTGCTCTGAGCATACATGTGATTAATCTGATCCTTTCGGATCTTTCTCTTTGCCGTAAGTGGCAGTAAGTGGCTTGATGAATGTGTGGTATTTTGTGGGGACAATTGGTCCAGTATTGAGGGAAAACACTGCAGATGAAAAAAAAAAGATTGTCAATGTCATGGCTGAATATTTAGCTGATTGCAGCAATGGGGATGTGATGCTAGATGCTTCAGAACAAGCCACAGCGAGACACACAATAACAAACAGAAAGTATGAAGCAGAAGGTAAAGAAAAAGGTTTTATTTCTCTGTAGATACTTTCCATAATAACTTGAATAACAATCTCAGCCCGTCAGTGGCAAAAACACCGGTGAGGAGCTACCCCGAGCGACTTCATTACAGCTGCAGCGTTCTCTCTCAATACTGGACCAATTTCAAAAATTGTTGGTCACTTCGACTCAAAAACAAAAATACCAGTGTTATCTTTTAAGGGAAATTCTTCAAACTTTGATAACGTTGGTTGAACGTGACATAATACTTCATAAATTAAATACTCTGCCCTGTCCTTGGCTTGCTTAGAGAAAGAATAACTTGTATTCGGAGTAGAAATCTAATTAACTGCCCCATTGCACTCTTATTTGCTCGAAAAATAATTGGAATAAATGCCCAATGCTGTTTAACATGTCATAGCAAAAAACAAAACAAACAAATAATAAGATAGGATGTCAGCTGCAATCATACAAATAACACTACATCCAAGACCGGAAACCCAGACATTTCACTAACTACACTATATGGAAAATTCAGCTTTTTAAAAAGAAAAATAAGACGCTCCATGCTCCATAAAATGACAAACGGTGCCACCAGTACAGAGTGATACCACAGCTATTTAATGGGACTTATTATAAGAGGCCCACTGGCATCCTAATATGTCTCCACAGGGCCGAGAGTAAAAGAGAGAGAAAGACAGTCACCAGGGCAACAGCTCGACGGGCAGAGGAGCAATACCAGTGTGTGACGAGACAAAGCCGAGGTGTTCATGCGAGTGTGTGTGCGTGTGTCGAGGAGTCTACCTGGCGGGAGATTTGGAGGTGCTCCGTGTGGAGGACAGGGAGGCGCTACGGGAGCTACAGCAGCTGCCTTGACGCTGTGAACTCCTACTGGGGGTCTCACCGGGGGACCTGATGGATGACGACCAATGGACGCACACGTGCACCACACACACACACACACACACGCATACATGAACATACATAAAGCCATGTGTATGTATGCAGACATCACGGGGGGGACACACACGTGCCACAGCGAGCTCAGTAGTCAATCTCATGATATGTAAAACAGTTCATGCGCTGCCGAACCCTTTCCCATATATATTCTAATCAAGGCGGGGGTGCGCAAGGTGTGGCACGGGAATCGCGTTGGACTCATGGCGCTTGGGAGATGCGCCCTGTGCGTCACAGCATGGCCATTTGCATTCTCTGCGAGTCCGAACCGGAGATAATGGAGGTAAAATACCAATATAAATTTATGAGAGGCCGAACGTGATTCCAATTGGACCCGTTGTTGGGGACAGAGATCATGTGGTTCACTGTGTGGTTCACTGTGTGCAGAGGACAAACCGTGCTTATTCTTACACATTGAACGGTGTGTATGCACATCAGCTGTTACTGATAACCAATGTGAAACAAGCAGACATGTAGGTCTTTCAGCTCAACATTAACATGTAAATGGCATTACAGTGATTCTATGTGCGTCTCACCTCTTTTTCTGTTTGTTCTTGTCTTTGTGTTTGTTCTTTGGGCTGCCCGATCTAAAAACAAATGTGATACGTGAGACAATGAGGCCGTGCACTTTGAAGCATGGGAGACACGCATTCACACCCTTTGTAAAAAAAGAAAAAAAAGGAAACTCAGTGTACCACTCACCCATATGGATTGCATTGTCTTTTGAACAATCAGTAGGCAGAAATGACAATAACACACACCGTACACATATTATGTATGTTATAATGTATTGTGTTTTTTATGTCTTGTTCCATACACACCTGTGTCTCCTCTTTTTCCTGGAGCCAGAAGCAGATCTATAAAAGATAAGAAGAAAAACATCCCACAATCACCATATTGATTAGCTGAAAAATAAATATTCAGTATGATACAAGTGTGCAGCGGGGGCCTGTTCCAACAAGCAGGTGCACTGAGTAATCTGGTTAACCTTCCCAGACAAAAAAGAAAAAGGTATTTTTAAATCCACGTGTCCATGTTCCAGATTTGACGTGGTTCTGGGAATTACTAAACTCGCTTCTTGAAATAAATTCTAGGACATCGGAGGCGGTATTTTGGACAACTGCTGGAGGTTGAATCCAAAATCTATTCTGTGCTGTGTGCCATATTTATATTTACTTTTTTTTTTTTAATATACATTTAAAAAAAACACCTCCAAAGAATGTTGAAACTACGTTAAGTCTCTAAAGGTGTGAAAGCTTGCCAAGCAGTCGAGACTCATTTAGAGTCTAGGTACAGCTAATTACTCATGCAACACATTCAAAGACAAATGTGCACCGACGTATGAATTAAAACGGCATTCTAGATATTACAAACAGACACGGACGCGGGAACATGTTCGAGTTGCCTTGAACGGCAGGAGGATTGTGTATTTTATAAATAAACGGAATATTTCAGCACGTGTTCCAGCCCTCTGAATCCAGCGCATACGTCCATATATGCAGAGGTGTGCACAGGGCGCCCTCACATCAGGCTCTCCCAGCTGGTGTTCTACAGGTGGTGGATGTCACGCTTGGTTTATATTTATCGCCGGTCGTAGAAGATGCTGCTCCCTGTGATGCAGCAGGAACAATACACCGAGGTTCACTTTCCCTCTGACCCTGTATCAGAGCGGACAGTAACGATGGGGAGACCGGCCATTCCTCAGCGCTCAACTGACACATCACCTCCATATCACTTTCACCCTTGTTGCAGTTTCCATGGTGATTAGTGAGAGTTGCTGCTATTTTCCTGAAGAGCACTACCCCGCCCCCCTCCCCCCCCTCTCTCTCTGTTATGTACACCTACAAGCATGCAGTGGAGTGGGAGGCAGTGGCGGGTCAAAGTGTGTTGATTCACTGTAAGGGGAGTAATACAGCTGTCACAGTATGTACATGTGACTCAGAGCTGTGTGGCCCCCGGTAGCAGCCTCGGACTGCTGCATATGAGGCGTTACTCTGGAGAGCTTGTTACGCTACTTCTTCTTCTTCTCTCACACACACTCTGGTCACACCTCACCCTCTACTACCAGGACATAGCAGTTTGGTATATGTGAGATATATGAAGGGCATCAAAATAGACAAAAGCCTTGTTATGTCAAAGTGAGTTGTGTTTTACAAACAAGCAGCGGTATATAGGAATGTTTAGCTCCTCCTATAATGTGAAACCTTAAAAAGGAGACCAGTGAGTGGCAGGAGGCTATACTCTCTGGGGGAGGAACCCTCCATCCTGCCCCCCCCCTTCTCCTCAACATCTATACATTATTCATATACCAACAGTACCTGCATTGCAGAGCTGCTTTGGTGTGAGGGGGAATGGGGGAGGAGAGAGGGCGGGTGGTGCCCGGATGTGTGTGGATGGATGAGAGGTGGGAAACAAGAGCGGGGCAGTGCAGCGATGCTCTCACAAGTGTCTGTTGATGAGCTCTGGCTCTTTACTCTCTTCTTCGTTTGTTTCCTGTCACTCTCACTTTCTTCTTCCCTTCCTTTTCATTTAGTCTCTGCTCCTTTCAGCCTTTCTCTCGCTTGAACCGTCTTTCTTCCTTTCTTTCTTCCCCTTCCTTTTTCTTCTTGTCTTTCCTACTTTCCTTTTTCACTTCCATTTTCTTCCTATCTTTTAGTCTTTCCTCTTTTCCCGTCTTTTTTCACTTCCTTTATCCTTTTCTTCTTGACTTTTTTTCTTGCAATCTTCCCTTCCTTTTTATTCTTTTAGTCTTTCCTCCTTCCCTTTCTCTTTCCTTTTCTTCTTTTCATTCTTCCTTTACTACATTCTTTCCATTTTATATCCTTTTCTCCTTTTCTCTTTCTTCCTATGTTTCCTCCTTCCCTTCCCTTTTCTTCTTGTCTTTCTTTCACAGCCATCACTGTGAAGGCAACAGTTGATAAACCCTTGAAAAGTCACACTTTCTTTCTTGTGATGACATGTCAGTGATGACACTCACACACAGCCTGTACACACTCACCTGTCTCGCTTGTGTTTCTTCCCACTCTTTTTCTTCTTGTCTCTGTGAGTGGGTGAGGAGCTGCCAAACCTTTTGGTGGAGAGAGGGGGAGAATTTGCAAAAATGCAAAATGAGGCTCAGATCGCTGCTGACTTCTGTCTTCTCGCTCATCATTGTTACGATACATCACACGGGGGACTGTTAGTAAAGGTGACATCCTATAGTAGCTCAGCTGATTTTTCACTGTTTGTCCCCCGCTCCATTCATCATCTGCCTCTCCCTTCTTATTCTTTCTTCTCTTTTGCATCAATGTAGCAGTTCCTTCTCTCTCTCTCTCTCCCTCCCTCTCTCCCCCTCTCTCTCTCTCTCTCTCTCTCTCTCTCTCTCTCTCTCTCTCTCTC